GCCGAGATCTAGACTAATCTGGTTTTAGAGGTGTGACATTGAACAAGCGGAGTCAGTTTATTATTTAGCGGTTTTCTTTTTCCTTGGTGCGGGGTTTCAAATCAGCTCGGAATGGTAAGTTTGCTTCACCACGCCCCGAGGGTTTTCCCGCCTTTCCTCACTTAGTGGTGGGTTTTGAGTATGTGTATGGGGCTGAGGATGGAGCCCAGGGCCTTGTACACTTAGGCAAAGTGGTCTATAAATGAGCTACACTCCCCTTAATTTAGCTATTTATTTAATGGAGATGTGTATGAGAAAAGTATCCGGATCTTACCATTGCCTTATAGTATGAATGTGTGATGTTTTCAATATATGTCTAGAGCTGGTGATGGCAGTCCTGCTTGCACATCAGACGACCTGAGTATTACACAGCAAAGCATTCTGCTCTTTATTGTGTCCTGTTTGCTGGTGGTGGGAAGGCCTTGACTGAAATTTCTGGAATGTCTGATAGCAGGAAAGTGGCTTGGAGGTTTGCTTTGCTTCCTTTTTGCAGTAAGCTGGTTAAGACTATTTAAGTGACATAAATGTAAAGGCCTGAAGGGGGGGTGATGTGGATATCTTCAGGAAAAGCAGTTCAGGCGATGACATAGGGTTTGCCACCTTTTATTTTTGGCAGTACTACAGATTGAACCCAGGTTGCTCCATCACTGACCTGTATCCACAGCCCTTTTTTATTTTCAGGTTTGTGTTGCTGAGGCTGGCCTTGAACTGTTGATGCTGCTGAGTAGCTCACTGTGCTTGGCTTTCACACCATCTTGACACCCTAAGCCTGAGCTTAGATAATGATGTAGGGGAAAACAAAATGGGATGGGAATCAGGAGGCCTGGTTCCTTGGGCAGCTGGCTTTAGTTTTCATATAGGGTTACTAATCAGATTTTCCTCCCTGTGTGTGATGGAGTTACACAGGAATAGAGGATGGTCCTACATGTCATGGAGCTTGAGGAGGACAAAATTAGCATGCATGTCACTTATGAAGGCTTGTGGGTGTTGAAGTCTTCATTCTTTTGCTAGATAATAGATCTCTTTGAAAGGCTCATGAAAGCTCTGGAATCCCCTCTGTCATGGGCACTGATGACCAGAGGCAGTTTCTTCCATAGTTGTCTGGGGTCCTTTTTTTTTTAAATTAATACTATTAATATTTTATTATAGAATTCTTTTTTTTAAAAAAAAGATAGAGGGACAGAGAGAGAGAGAATTTTAACATTTATTTTTTCTTAGTTCTCGGCGGACACAACATCTTCCTTTGTATGTGGTGCTGAGGATTGAACCCGGGCCGCACGCACACTAGGCAAGCGCGCTACCTCTTGAGCCACATCCTCAGCCCTGGGGTCCTTTTTTGCACAGGGAGAAAACTGAGGTCCACAGAGGGTAGGGACAACTTATCTAGCTGTGTTCAGAGGCAAGAGTGGCCCCAGGATGCAAATCCTAAGCTAGTTTGCTTAGGGGGAGCAGGCCACAGCTAGTTCTTGTTTTATGGGTCACTTTTTGAACACAGAAGTAAACACAAGGTCTATGATTTGATGCTTCTCGTGTGGAAAGGGAGCTGCAGCTTCATGAGGGCTGCCTGGTTTTTCAGGGTAGAAGTGAAAGTTGGAGAGGGTGGTGGCTCCGTAGCACTTTCTAGTAAATAAAGGTGTTGAGCCAGGAACTGTAGGCATCCTGTCCTCAGCTTCCTTTATCCAGCCTGCCCTGAGCCAGATTCAAAGGTGTGTGATTTAAGAGTGAAATGAATTATTCTTTTCAGTCCTGAGGATAGGTGCTGGTACTAGCCCCTTAAGAATAGGCCAGAAGTGGGATTGCCTCACAGCAGAGCTTTCTGGCCCTACAGAGCAGCTCTTCCTCTGCATTGTTAGGGCCGTAGTAGCTTCATAGTACCAGCACTTTCTAGACAAGAACATAGGTACATGTGGCCACCTGCTCTCCTTGTTAAAACAGGTGACTAGGGTGGTTTTCAGTATTACCTCATGTTGGTTAAGTACAATTAAGTCTTGTGTCAAGTTAGCATTTGTCTTAACGTAGCACTGCCACAAGATGGAGCTTTAAGAGGTGGACCCAGGATTTGATCCCTAGAAGTCCGAGGTCAGAACTCTTGAGTGAAAACTAACTCTGTCCCTCCAGGCAATGCCCTGCTGCGACGACTTGTCCGCATTGGGGTGCTGGATGAGGGCAAGATGAAGCTGGATTACATATTGGGCCTGAAGATTGAGGATTTCTTGGAGAGGCGCCTGCAGACCCAGGTCTTTAAGCTGGGCCTGGCCAAGTCCATCCACCACGCACGTGTGCTCATTCGCCAGCGCCACATCAGGTATGGCGACTGCTGAACCCCTGAATCTCCCTATTCACTTTGATGGTTGCCCTCTCTAAGCCTGCTGTCCCTGTCTCCTGTGCAGCCATTGGAGCTGATAAAGGTGTGAGGGTATGGATTCACACCCTGCAAACATCTCGTGGGGGATCTGGGGACAACCTTGTTCCCTGTAGCCCCTGTCAGCGCAAGAGTCACTGCGGCTTAAGCCGTACACCTTGCGAAGGCCTCTGTCAGGCATGCAGGCAGCTGGACAGGTAACAGCTCTTGGTGCCCCTGGATGGTGAGGATTGGGTGCAACTGGGTGGGCTCAGTTCCGCTGGGCTCACTGGTGCCTGTTCCAGAGGTTTGGTGCAGATACCAGGTCCGCAGGAGTCCAGCTGGCAGGATGGCAGCTGATGCAGAGACAGGGCAAAGTGGGATTGAGTTGAGGGCTAGGTGTAGTTCTCTTCCCTACCCCGTACCTGGGATTGAACCCAAGGCACTTATTTACTTTTAGTTCTAGTTTTGGACACAATACCTTTATTTAACTTATTTATTTTTATATGGTGCTGAGGATTGAACCCAGGGTCTCGCACATGTGCGAGTGCTCTACCACTGAGCCCCAGCCCGAGCCCCCCCTCTGGGGTCTTGTGGGTTTCTTGATTTCTCTCCTCTTCTGTAAAGTGAAGGATAAACTTGCCCAAAGCATTGGTGTGATGTCCCGATGGCCTAAAGCTGACCCAGTACAGGGGTCCAAAGCTGAGAAGTACCCCCAGCACACCATGGGTCAGCACAGCTCGCTAGCTGCAAGGCACAATCCCAGAGCAGAGTGGTGTTTTGGTTGGGGGACTGGTTCTGCCCAGGCCCCTTGACCGCCTTTCTTCTTTCAGGGTCCGCAAGCAGGTGGTGAACATCCCGTCCTTTATTGTCCGCCTGGACTCCCAGAAGCACATCGACTTCTCCCTGCGGTCTCCATATGGGGGTGGCCGCCCAGGCCGCGTGAAGAGGAAGAATGCCAAGAAGGGCCAGGGTGGGGCCGGGGCTGGTGATGATGAGGAGGAGGATTAGGCCCTCCCCCTGGGCTGGATGATTGTTTTCCAGACAGGTAGTAAAGCAGGTTCAACACTTTGGAGTTGGTGTTTTATAAGTATATCCTCTCAAAACCCCCCCCTGCACATCCTTCTGTGGTGGGCAGAGCTCAACTGGGTCCCAGGCCAGGCTTCCTGGAGCTGGGGTGTGCAAGTGTTGCCAGGCTAGAAGATACCACCAGGTCCAGGCTAAGCACCTCCCAGGTGGTGGGTCTTGACCTCAGGGTGGGCTACAGGGTAGTGAACAGAATGTGCATAGTCACTTTTATAGTTGCGGGGAGACCAAGTTGCTGAGTAAAGCCAGGCATGTGCAAATGGGGACAGGAAAGAGTCATTTGCAGGCAGAGTAGCAAGTGCAGGTCAGGCTTGTCCCACTCAGCCTGGCCAAGAGCTGAACCCTAGAAAGCCTTCATCTGATCATGGAAAGAGTGCCACAGGGTGGTTGGTGATGGGGAGGGTCCCCGTTTGTCTCAACATGTGGGTTTAATAAGTGGGAAGTAGCTGGTGACCTTTGGACAGGGGCATTTGAAGAACTGCCTATGGAGTTTCTCCTACACTCATAGTCAGGCGACAGGCTTCCCTTTTCCTGCCTTGCTGAGAAGCTGTCCGGCTGGGAGGTGGGCCAAAGCCTGCAGCCACTTTGCATGCTGCAGTCTGGTCCCTGGGTCAGTCCACTGAATCCTGCAGGGAGTCCGACAGCACTGCAGCTTCTTGGGCTAGGTGGTTTTCCACTTGAGTGGTCTTGTTGATGGCAGCTGAGATGTAGAGGGTAACCAGGTCACTCAGGTATTCTAGCGCAGCTGAAGCTTCCTGGAAGCAGTTTATGCCTCTCACAGGCTCTTGTCCATTTGGTCCTCATCCTGTCCACAATCCATTAGCTGAGGCTGGCATGGCTCCCATGCCCCCAGGGTCCTGGCAGTCTGGAGTGTGAGGTCTGTCCTTTGTCAGTGGCCTGGAGTGGGGACAGTGGGAGGGAAGGTGTGCTTGGGGTGGGGCAGCCCAGGGCTTGGGCAGGAAGACTGGTCCTTCTCTCCAGCTTCTGCTCTTGGGAGGCGGGCTTGGGGTCTTGTGATGAAGGGAGGAGGGACACAGGCAGCTGGCCTGCAGGTGGTTGGACACCTGGTGCTTGCAGAGGTCAGGACTGGGAGTAGGAAATGGAGTGGACCTGTCCACTTAAGAGGAGCAACAGCCACAGGTGCCCCAGCCAGGGATCAGGCTCCCTTGCCAGGGCAGATAGAGCACCCCTGGGTTCAATCCCTAGTACCACACAAAAAGCTAACTAAAATAGTGAAATAACGCCACAACTGCACATGTTCTCATAGATCGGAAAAGGCCAAAGTCACTTTAAACATTTCCATATGCACTCACGTTGCTTCTTTCTACATTTTCTCACTAGGACATTATGCAAAAGTGTTTCCAAGCTCACCTGTTCCCAGTGGGCAGGTTTCTCTGGGCCTGCTACACTGAGCCCACCCTTGCTGGGCCCACGGGGAGCCCGCTCCCCCTCACCTGCCTTCCTCTGTTGGCTCTGCCAATAGCGTTAGAGAAGGAGGAGGAGCAGCAGGAGGAAGGCCACTGAGACTTGGCAGACCTGCAGGTGCCTTCATTGTGAACCAGGAGCCATGCCGCTTACCTGAGCACCTACTGTGTGCCAGCCCTGCTGGTCTTTCCACCTGTCACCTCCAGCCATGTCACTCAGGCATCATGGCACTGCCACCCACTCCCCAGAACAGATGAGGAAACTGAGGCTCAGAGGGGGGTCCCCTGCCCAGTCACCAAGCAGGAAGCAGCAGAGCCGGCCTGAACTGGGGGAGTCTGACTCCCAGTCTCCTCTCCACCAGAGCTCAGCCCTGAGCTGGAGGGAAAGAGCCTGACACCCCGATGGCCCTGAGCCCTCCCCTGCTCAGTGTCACTGTCACTGCACACAGGGGACAGAGCCCTGCAGATTCAGATACTGGAGGCGTCCCTGGAGGCCCCTCTCCCAGCAGGGCACAGCCAAGGTCAGCCTGAGAGGCACTTGAAGGTCAGGGCCAGGCCTCTCCTCTGCCCTGGGAGAAACTGAGGCCCAGAGGGGAGGGGCTGGTCCCCGTCAGCATCTCCAGAGGGGGCTGCCCCCCTCAGCTCAGCCCTGCCCTGGACCCACCTCCCACCAGAGCCCCTCACTCACCACTCTGGGGTCCTGGGTCCGTGGGGGAGAGGGGCTGGTCCTCAGGGCCTCCTGGGGTGGGTGGGAGGTGAGGGCTGGGCTGCCTGCCCCCCACTTCAGCTGGCTGCTCCTCCCCAGGCTGGGCCCAGGGTCACCTCTGCCTGGACCTCCCCCTCATGCCTCCCAGCTCTCAGCCCCGGGGCCTGGGGTCCCCACCGGCTCCTGTGCCACAGAGGGAGGTCTTGGCCCTCCTGGGTGGAAGCCTCTGCTGCTTCCTTCCTGCTTTGTCCCCCTGGTGAGGGGCTCCTGGGCCTGTGAGACAGGTGGGAAATGGGGAGGGCCTTTCTCCTTCTGTCTGCCCTGAGTCTTGCCAGCCACCCTCTCCCCACCAAGTCCCTGGTGGGCTTCAGGGGTGAGGCTCTAAGGGGAGGATTGGAAGGGAGGCCCTGGAGGGAGCTGCCCCATCTTCTCACGGGGATATCCTGGGGACAGCCTGGCACTGGCCATGAGGACACAGAAAGAATGGAGACCCTCACCTGATACCCCGAGCTCTAGGGGTTCCCTGGGCTGTGACAGCAGGTAGGGGGTGGCACTGTGTGAGCCATAGCACCTGGAGGTGCCCCCGTGGACCAAGGTCACAGCATTCAGTGTGAAGCTGGCCAGAGATGACACAGGCCCATCCTGCATGGCAGTGCTGGGCAGGAGCAGCTGACCCCTCCTCGCACAGGTGGAAGGTGTCAAGCCAGACCTCAGAAAGACCTGCAGGGTCCCATTCTCCCCCTGTTCCCTGAGCTGCACAGGAGGGACACCTTCCCTCCCAGGGCCACCAGGGGGCCTGGGTCAGCTGAGAGGGAGGGGAGGACATGAAAGTGGGCCCGGGGCGGCTCCTCCTCCTTACCTGTCACCACCAGCTGCAGGGGCTCACTGCTTGGACCAGCTGCCTGAGATGAGGTAGGCACAGCGGTCCAGTCCTGTGAGCCCAGGGGAAGCCGGGCTTGTCTGGAGTCCCGGGGGGCCCAGGGGTTGTGTCTGAAGAGGCCCCAGCTTTGAACAGACGGTAGGTGTCCGCCTGCCGAGACCCCTGACACCAGATGGTCACAGGGTTCCCTGCGGCCACCATGGGGCCAGGGGCAGCCCAGGTGAGGGGTTTAGGGGTGGGTTCCTGAGGAGGAGTCAGACCTGGGGTTCAGGGATGTCTCCCTGTCTGCCTGGTCAACCCCAGGCCCCTTCCAGACTGGTCAGCACCCCAGGCCCATGGACTCCCCTTTCCTAAACCAATCGGAGGTTCACGTAGGCTGAACCAGGAGGTCTGAGACTCACCTACCTTTGTCTTGGCCCACAGGCCAGGACACAGCCCTGGAAGAGCAAACCCTGTGAGACTGTCCCCATGGGAACCCAGGTGGCCTCAGGACCTCCCAGGGCACAGTGCCCCCCCTGCTCAAGAGTGGCCGCACACGCTCCCTCTGCCTGCTCTGGTTCTCTGAGCTTGGGGCTCAGAGCTGGGCTGAGTGCCTTGCCTCCCCATCCCCAGACCTGAGTCCCAAGGCTCTCAGGGACCAGCACCCAGGAGGGGTCCTCTCTGTCCCCAGAGCTCATCCAGGCAGAGGAGGGCGGTGAGGGCAGGGGTCTTGGTGCTGCCTCCCACGGTTCTTGGGGCAGAGCCCTCGCCTGAGGTCCCTTGGCAGAGGGCACCCCTCAGCTCTGTGTTGCAACTGGAGTTTCCTCCCCAGCCGCTGCCCTGGAGGAAGCTGTCCTGCCCTGGGGCCGCTGCCCTGGAGGAAGCTGTCCTGCCCTGGAGGACAGGGCTGAGGAGGCAGAGGCTCTGGGACCTTCAGGCCAGATGTGAGCCCAGTGGGCCCCTGTGCTCTGCTGCCTGGCCTGACTCAGCCATCTTGCCCCAGCCCAGGGAGTCTGCACGGGGTCAGAGAGGGCCGGGCCCCGGGCGCCGTCCAGTCACACTCCAAGTCTAGACACCTCCCTCTCCTGAGCTTCTGTGGGTGCAGACTGTCTTCCTGTGCTGGGCATCCAGGCCAATCGAGTGGTCACCACCCTCAGGCAGGCCCCGGGGCCGGAGCCTGAGGGAGGCCAACCTAGTATGTGACCAGCATTTGTCTCCCCTTCTGATTGGTGTGGCATTGTGGGTCACCTTGTGGTCTGGTTGCCTAGGTAACCAGAGATGGTAGCCCCGATCTTCAGGGTCGAGCAAATGTGTCTGGCCTTCCTGCAGCCCCAGGGGTCCAGCTACGCTCACCTGTTCCTTTGTGATATTACCCCTTTGCCCTGTTTGGGATAGAATGTTCCACGGAAACGCCCTTTGTGTGTCCCCTTCTCTTATTGTGCCCTTGGTGTGGCCTTCCTAGATGTCAGTCAACCTGCTGACAGCAGACATCACAAAGCTAGACTCAGCCCCCTGAAACCTGACCCCTGGCCTCATTTGAATGGCTTCTC